CCTTGAAAACCCTACCATGCATGTATCCATAACCAAATCCTCCGTTGTACCAATTTAACATTTTAACTCAAGTATGAGTCATAAACTCATTATTAATAACTAGGGCTAAATAAGCAAAGGCTAGACCACCCAGATAGGGTTTTTTTTTTTTTTTTATGTATATTTGGCAAGAAACGTGTTTTGGTACTTTACATTTGAGGATTTCGATTGGAATTTTGAAGATTAATCACCTAGGGCCTTAAAATAGCAAGATTTTTGCAACATTACTAATTAAAAATTGTAAATAAAAAAAAAATATAAAAAGAATCCAACTATAAATAAAATCTTGAGTATAGTTCATATAGAACTAAAACTACATTATCTAGTTAAAATTCATAAATGGCCAAAAGTCTCATATATATATGGTAGTTTCATCCATTGGTAATCCATGAATTCTTCCCTCCTTCACCGTTTTTGTCTCAGAAAGTCCATCAGTGACAAAAATTGAGGGAACAAATAATATAGCGCCTCTCTCTAGAAAAAGAAAAAAATCGATTTAGAGAGAACAAACAATCTAAATAATAGGGGAGCAAACTTCTTTGTAAGAAAGAGATAAGAGAGTTTTGGAGTGGTGGGAGTAGAAGTAGATAGAAAATGGTTATGGAAGTCATTAATGTTCTTGTCTCTTTTCATTACCTGTTTATGGGCAAATTATCCAGTATACCCGGGGGCACCGTGCCCCCCTCCTATTTTTTGCACGAGTAGTCTTTATTGTACCTTTTTATCAATTTTTCAATATTTTGCAATTTTAGTCCCTGTGACTTTTTTCCTTCTCTTCAAAAAAAACAGCTATAATCTTTCAACGAGCATATCTTCCAATCCGTGAAGAATTTGTGAACGAATTATACATGAAATTTATAGTACTCGTCGAGATCTATCCAACGAGATCCATTTCGAATATTTTTTTTGAGTTTAAAAATGACTAAATTTTGATGGGCAGAATTAAGTTGGATATCCAGTAAGTTGGATAACCAGTGTGCACGAGTTGGATAACCAGTATGAACACAGTGGATAACCAGTTCAAACAATTTGGATAACCATGTAAATCCATTGGATAACCAGCATTAGCGCATTGGATAATCCAACACAAACCAATGATTGGATAACCAATACAAACGAGTTGGATAACCAACTTAGTTTATTATTTCTTAAAAAAAAAAAAAAACCAGGTTGGATAAATAATACTAATTAGTTGGATAAACAGCATTAACATAAATAATCAAGATGGATAACCAACTTATTTTACATTCATATCATTCTTTTCCTTGTATCTTTTGATCCGTAAAGAATTATAACACGAATTATATATGAAATTTATAGTGCTCGACGAGATCTATCCGATAAGATCTATGTTGAATATTTTTTTTGAACTTTAAATGCATTTAAATTTTACGGGTAGAAATGAAGAAATACGTTTTTTGTTTTTCTTTGAAAAATGGTTATCCAATCGGTTTGGAGTGATTATCCATTATGTTCGTACTTGTTATCCAATCATATGTTTGACATTCACTCTTCAAAAAAAAAAAGATGATGGATAACCACCTCTATTCTATTCTGCCCGTCAGAATTAAGTCATTTTTAAGCCCGAAAAAATGTTCACGATAGATTTCGTTGGATAGATCTCGACGAGTACTATAAATTTCATATATAATTCGTTCACAAATTCTTCACGGATTGAGAAATATGCTCGTTGAAAGATTAGAGTTGGATATGCATACAAACCAAATGGATGGATATCCAGTACAAACAAGTTGGATAACCAGCATGAACACAGTGGATAACCAGTATTAGCGCATTGGATAATCAATATGAACACATTGGATAACTAGTTCAAACAATTTGGATAACCATGTAAATCAATTAGATAACCAGTATTAGCGCATTGGATAATCAACATGAACACAGTGGATATTCAGTTTGAGAAGATGGATAACCAACTTATTTCACATTCATATTGTTGTGTTCCTTGTATCTTTTGATCCGTAAAGAATTATAACACGAATTATATATGAAATTTATAGTGCTCGACGAGATCTATCCGATAAGATCCATGTTGAATATTTTTTTTGAACTTTAAATGCATTTAAACTTTACGGGCAGAAAATGAAGAAATGTGTTTTTCATTTTTCTTTGAAAAATGGTTATCCGTTGTGTTCCTACTGATTATCCAATCGGTTTAGAGTGATTATCCATTATGTTCGTACTTGTTATCCAATCATATGTTTGACATTCACTCTTCAAAAAAAAAAAAGATGGATATCCACCTCTATTCTATTCTGTCCGTCAGAATTAAGTCATTTTTAAGCCCGAAAAAATGTTTACTGTGGATTTCGTTGGATAGATCTCGACGAGTACTATAAATTTTATATATAATTCGTTCACAAATTATTCACGGATTGGGAGATATGCTCGTTGAAAGATTAGAGTTGGATATACATACAAACCAAATGGATGGATATCCAGTACAAACAAGTTGGATAATCAGTATGAACACAGTGGATAACCAGCACAAATAACTTGGATAAGTATGTAAATCCATTGGATAACCAGTATTAGCGTATTGGATAATCAATATGAACAAAATGGATAACCAACTTATTTTGAATTAAGAAGTTGGATAACCAAATGGATAAGCAGTAGAAACAAAATGGATAACCAGTTCAAACCGATTGAATAATCAGCATGAACACGATGGATAACCAATTTAGAACAAGTTGGTTATCCATCTTGTAAAACTGGATATCCACCCCTATTCTGTCCATCAGAATTAAGTGATTTTTAAGCCCGAAAAAATATTCACTATGGATTTTGTTGGATAGATCTCGACGAGTACTATAAATTTCATATATAATTCGTTCACAAATTCTTCACAGATTGGGAGATATGGTCGTTGAAAGATTAGAGATGTTTTTTTTGGAAGAGAGAGAAAAAAATGACAGGGACTATACTTGTAAAATATAGAAAGATTGATAAGAAGTACAATAAGGGCTAAAAATGCAAAAAATAGGAGGGGGGCACGGTACCCCCGGGTATACTGGATACAGACTCCTGTTTATGTGCATTAAACAATTACGTATGTGGACAATATCTCCACTAGGATTTAGTTTGTTGTAAATAATAGTAACTAAAAAATTTTATTTCCATTAGAGATAACTATTGTACCGACAAATTTCACCACAAAGAATTTTACTATTATTTAATTTGACCATTAAACAGCAACGGCAACATATATTCCTTGTGCAAAGCATATGTTTTTTGGCAAGGGCATTTTGTTTGTTAGAATTTTGGCATGAATCAAATTTGGAAATTAAATTTGGGAGAAAATAAAATAATAAAGATTTAGGAAAGTTTGTATCATCATCAAATTTAAAACTAAATTTAAATAATGAAGGAAATCATCTTGACAACAGTTACGGGGACTAAGGCTACTGGAGAGACATATCGGTGGTCAATATCCATTAATTCATATTGGTGGTCTGACAAAAGCTAGAAGTAAGAAGATCTTGAACAATCTCATTACTTTGTTCCAAGATGTTCGTTTATTCAAGAGTTGGCTCATATATTCAGCAGAAGTCGACCGATTGTAGGGAGAGTTCATCAAGTTTAAGCGTCGGCCAACGAGAAAGTCGACAGCAGCAGAATGGAATTCGTCGACCTTTAGCATCGGGCGACAGAAAAAGTCGGCAACAACAGCAGCAGTATCGTCGAGAATTGCGTCGACCGGCGCCAAAGAGACAAGAAACCGTCGACGTTTTCGTCGATTGGTTTTCAAAGTCGACGACAGGTGTCAAAAACTAGGGTTCTTTTCGATTTTTCTTGAGTTTTTTCAAGGATTTCAAAGCTCCAACTTGTAAAATCCTATCCAAGATGGTTTCCAAGGAGTTGTTTCAAGATTGCAATTTTTATTCAAGAACACATTTACTCAGCTATTCTGGTTTGTTTAATTAGGACGTTGACTTTTTTGTTTCCTAATTCAAAAATAAATTTGTCAAATATGTATTTGGGTATGTTTGTGAATCTTAGTGTATCTCCACTAGGATTTAGTTTGTTGTAAGTAATAGTAACTATAAAATTTTATTTCCATTAGAGGTTGTATCCAAAAATTTCACAAGTAATTTTGATATTTTTGGCTAAATAGCAACGGCCACCCATATTCCGTGTGCAAAGCACATGTTTTTTTGGCAGGGGAATTTTGTTTGTTAGAATTTTGGCAAGAATCAGATTTGGAAATTAAATTTGGGAGAAAATAAAGATTTAGGATGCGTTATTACTATTCAATATTAAAGAAATCAAGAAAGTTGTATCTTTCTAAATCATATTTTTATTAAAGAAAAAAAAAGAAAGTCTCAAATCAAATGACCAAATTAAATACTGCTATCAAAAATCAAATGACCATAATTAATGGCCTTACTAAGTTAAAAAGAAAAAATAATGAAGCAAATCCCACACTCTTATGAGGAATTAATACCATGGATACCTTGACCAGGGATTAGCTCTCAAATCCACCCTCTTACAGAATAATAAATCATATATATATTTAAAAAATGTTTAGTATGTTTATATTTTGATCTTGTCTTCTTCCCACAAAGGCAAAAGGAAACTGATGCCATTGCCTCCTCTCAGCTCATTCTCTGCAAATAAATTCTTACAGAATCCTTCTTCTTCTCCCTCCTCTGTCCCCCCCCCCTCTGATTCTCCTTCCCTGCCTCCTAATTTCCCCACATTCCCAATTCACTCTCCACCCTGTCAATAAATTCATTAGATCTCTATCTTTTTCTTTTTTCCTTTTCCGCTTGTTAATTCAGTCGGGTCGGGCTTTTCTTTCAGGGGGACCTGAATCAATCCTCTGAATTCAGATCCCCTTCCTCCCCACCATTTACTAGGATGCTGATCCTCTCCTAATCAACTTTTCTTCACTGTCTTCTTTTGCCCGCATTTTTGGGGACTGAGCTTGTTCCCCAATGGGCCAGTGTTATGGTAAGACCATTCCCACTGGCGACAGCGGTAGACCTGCCACCACCACCATCACCAGCTCCGTCGCTGATGATCATCACCATGCCGATTTCAACAACGGCGGTGTCAAGGGTACTCCGTCCCGAACCTCCGCCGTACCAAGTCCTTGCTGGCCTAGTCCCTACCCTCCTCACGCCACTGCCGCTGGTGGAGTAGGCCCCGGTGGTGCTACTCCTCTTCCCCCCGGAGTGTCGCCTTCTCCGGCGAGGTCTACTCCCGGGAGGAAGTTCTTCAAACGGCCCTTCCCTCCCCCATCTCCGGCTAAGCATATCAAGGCTTCTCTCGCTAGGAGGTTTGGGTACCCCAGAACTCCTCGTCACGGCACCATCCCGGAGGATGAAAGTATTACTACCTCAGCTGCCGCCGGAACTGATGATCAGCAGCTCCAGGCGGGTCTGGATAAAAATTTTGGATACAATAAGAACTTCGGGGCAAAGTATGAGTTGGGGAAAGAGGTTGGAAGAGGGCATTTTGGGCATACTTGCTTTGCTAAGGGCAAGAAAGGAGAGCTTAAAGATCAATCTCTTGCTGTCAAGATCATCTCCAAAGCCAAGGTTTGGATTTTAATTAGCCTTCCTTCTATGTTCTTACCTTTTTAAAGGAACCTTTAATTTTTCTTTTTTCTGATACTGCTATTGCGTTTGGGTAAAGATTTTTGTACTTTGTAGTAGTGTTGTTACCGTCAGTTTATTTGTTTATTTTGTGCGTTGCCTGGAGTTAAAACAAAAATTTGGATTAGTGGCTTGAAATACGGGGGGTTGCTTTTGAGGGATGGGGAGGGATCTTTACTCTTGTAGATTGCTATCAGGTGTAATAAAAACTGTTTTAAAAAGTAATGAGGCTTGCCCATCGCTACTCAACATTCTTTTTCGGGAGACTCAAATTGTTGTACCGCCGCCATTCCTGTTCTTAACGTTATTTTATCTGCAGCACCCCCCTTTCTGATTTTACCTTAAGTTTGAACGAGGCTTGCTTCTGTTAGCTGCTTTTTGTGTGTAATGATTTTCCATTCGGTTATTGTTTCCTTCTCGTAGTTTTGAAGAACAAACCTAAACATTGAACAGCCTGTCTTTCTATTAGTCAAGAAACAAAAGAGGAAATATAGAACATTTTTCAAGAAAATAGGACCTAAAAGGTTCTTTCCTAGTTCTGTTATGATCAATGCAGTGGTGACCAAAGAAAGATTGGGAAAATGAGTTTAGAGATTTGCTTTGTGAACATTTTCAAGAAAATAGGACCTTAAAGATTCTTTCCTTGTTCTGTTATGATCCATACCTTGGTGGCCACAGAAAGAGGAAATCTGAGTTTGTTGATTGCTTTTGTGAATAAACAGAGGTGTATTTAGATTTTTATCAGAAGTATGATAAATTGGTAATGTATGGAATATTGTACTCCTTAGTTTGTTTTGATATTCGGAAACTTGTATTCCTTTTCCAAATTTTGATGCCATACGAAGGCATTTCTTGAATGAATAGAAAACTAGCTAGGAACATGTTCTATGGAAAGTGTCATTGAGTCGAGAGTCTTACGTGTTGCTATAGCAGGCAAAATCTTTAGGGTGAAGTCTTCTGGTTTTGGAAATGTAATTATCAATATGAAATGCAAGTTGACTGAACAATCAAACAATTGTTAATTAAGATTACAGTCCCATCCAATGTAGAACATCATCCTGATTTACTTCACTTTTATTTCTCAGTTTATAAAACCACCCCCACCCCACCACCCCGCCCCCTGCCCCCGGCGGCTTTGTAGTTTACATTAGTTTGGGTTGTAAGTACATGTCCTTGTACATTTTGCTTCACCACTCATGTACTTATATTATTCTGTTTGGTTTTTTTATGTTACAACAATTGACAACAAGAACTGTGATAGATTCAATCTATTGATTTTACCGTTGCTGTTATTTGAGGAATAGACTTTAAACAGAAAATCTTTTCTTACAGATGACAACAGCAATATCTATTGAAGACGTTCGGAGGGAAGTGAAAATTTTAAAAGCTCTCTCTGGTCATAGACACCTGGTGAAATTTTATGATGCCTGTGAGGATACTAATAATGTGTACATAGTTATGGAGTAAGTGCTTCTCTACATTCTACTGAAATTCCTAGAAAGAAATGGGATTTGGCATAATTCTATACTCGTCGTTCATTTGTAGTTTGCGTGCGAGTTACTTTTTTGCTTCATTATCTTTTTTTTTAATAAAGTAATACTTGGAGTGGGTTTGATGTGTTTTTATGTTAATGCCTATTTGTCCATGATTCCGATATGGTTGTTTTATAATTTTTCAGTTGCTTTTATTGTAAGATGTGCATTTTGTCAACATTTTTTTTTTTTGTGTTTTTTTTTTGGGCTCTTCAAGCTAAACAACGTGAGAACTCGTATTTTGTTGTTGTATATAGACTCTTAGTTGTTGGTGGGCAAAAGTTGACAACAATTTGAGTTTTTTTATTCATACAGGTTGTGTGAAGGTGGAGAGCTGCTGGACAGAATATTGTCCAGGTAAATGAAATTCTTAAGCTTGTGATTCTACTGCATGATACTTGATGTTGTGACATCCTGCTATTTTTTAATCAGGGGTGGTAGATATACAGAAGCTGATGCAAAACTTATTGTTGTCCAAATTTTGAGTGTCGTGGCATTTTGTCACCTCCAAGGTGTTGTCCACCGCGACTTGAAGCCTGAGGTTGTGGACTTGACTTTGTGCTTATTCCAATTGTAAACAATGTTCCCATATCTGATAAGTCTTTCAATATATCTTGATTTCTAGTATTCACCTGATTCCCGAGTACTCATGCTGTTTTTAATTTCACTTTGTTATACAGAATTTCCTGTTCACCTCCAGAAGTGAAGATGCTGATATGAAACTAATTGATTTTGGTCTTTCTGATTTCATCAGACCAGGTAATGGCCCCAAAAAAGTGGTGACTTGGGTTTCGTACGTGCCGATATTTGCCATGATAATAGTAGTGATGAGACATTCGTTTAGATTTAAGTGATTTGTCGACTCCATTTGCAGATGAAAGGCTGAATGATATTGTTGGGAGTGCATATTATGTGGCACCCGAAGTTCTTCATAGATCTTACAGCTTGGAAGCAGATATCTGGAGCATAGGAGTTATAACCTATATCTTGTTATGTGGTAGTAGACCCTTCTGGGCTAGGACCGAATCCGGAATTTTTCGTGCAGTACTCAGAGCTGATCCTAACATTGAAGATATTCCTTGGCCTTCCGTCTCACCGGAAGCCAAGGATTTTGTGAAAAGGCTTTTAAACAAGGACTACAGGAAGAGAATGACTGCTGCTCAAGCTTTGAGTGAGTTCTGCTCTCAATATGTCATATATCTTTGACTTTGTGGCCTTTTGTTCTAAATTGATTTCTTCAAGCAATGGATCTGGTCATTTCCTTGTATTTACAAATATTATGCATGCAGCGCACCCATGGTTGCGGAGTGAGAGGCATCCTATTCCATTAGATATACTAATTTATAAGTTGGTGAAGTCATACCTACATGCTACTCCTTTCAAAAGAGCAGCCCTAAAGGTACTCTCTAGTTTACCTTCAATGTGAACCTATTTCGTTGTGTTTTACTTCAGGTTTTTGGTTGCCATACTGAAGTTCTTGGATTATGAGGGTCGAATTCGTGGTCATTACGTTGAGCCAACTGATTCTAATCTTTCTTCTTTCAGAGAAAAACTACTGCTGTTTGGGTTTCATTTTGATTGCAAAATTGTGTTGTATTGTCATTCTAGGCCCTTTCAAAAGCTTTAACCGAGGACGAAATGGTTTATCTTAGAGCTCAATTTATGCTTTTGGAGCCAAACAAGGATGGGCGCGTTTCTCTTGAAAACTTCAAAATGGTAATGAATCTTTTCATATCTAATCTTGTGTGATGTCCTATATGCTCGGCCCAGGATCATTGTTAGTGGGAAGTTTCTGTCTTTAATATTTTAGTCATTTAATTTAGATCTAAGTTCTATTGAAATGTTTGAAAGAAGCCATGAACTAATGTAGGCACTTCTTCGCAATGCCACCGATGCAATGAAGGAGTCGAGAGTTCCTGATATTTTGAATGCGGTGAGTGCATGAAAAATCATCAGTTTTCACTTTAATATCCTTACAGTATGGCTCCAGTGTTGGTGGGACGGGGAGATTTGAGTTGCCTGTATCTAGCGGCTTTTTATATCAGCAACATTGTTTTGTTGAAACTAATAAGTGTTCTTTTCTGTTTTAGATGGCACCACTCTCTTATAGGTGGATGGACTTGGACGAGTTTTGTGCCGCAGCAATCAGCACATACCAATTGGAGGCTCTCGAGATGTGGGAGCAAATTGCTTCAAATGCATTCTTGCAATTTGAGCAAGAGGGCAACCGAGTAATTTCAGTGGAAGAGCTCTCCCGGGTAAAGTTTTGTGTTGCTATTCTCCCCCTGGTGTGGTGTATGGCTGGACTTAAAGGACATGGTTTTACTTTGGAGTGCAGGAACTGAATCTCGGGCCCACAGCTTATTCAATACTGAAAGACTGGATAAGAAGTGATGGAAAACTGAGTTTGCTTGGATATACCAAATTTTTGCATGGGGTGACAATCCGCAGTTCAAACACAAGACACCATTAGCTAGCCATTTTTCTCAGATCATATATTTGTCATTTTTATAATTATTTTTTTTAGAGAGAAAACTTGTTAGGATTTTGTTGGGCCTTTTTGGTTAGTTGTTAGACGAGATTATAACTGCCAGATCGATGTTGGTGATGATGGAGGAGTTAAGGGTATTTAGAACCAAAAAAGAAAAAGAAAAAGGAAGAATGTTGTGATTTTCAGGTTGAGATGGTAAAGAAAACTCCTGTACAAAATGGAAGATAGAACTGTTTTCTAGCTAGTCAGGTGTTTGATATGTATTCCCGTTGATGAAGATGGGGATTGTAACTTCTGCTTGCTGCCACAGTTACCTGATGAATTTGAATACAAGAAGCCCTTAGGCTTTAAACCTTTAACCCATTTCTATGTCTCTGCTATTGGTGAATTTTATTTTGTTTTTTGGTACAATCCTACTGGTGAAATTTGAATTCCCCACTCATGAGATGGTTACATTTGCATGCGGTATTATTTACCATGCATGACTTGGTAATAGTAGGATTATCCCATGATAAGGCTTGTTTGACAACAATTAGTGCTTAATTCTGAATACTTAAGGTATTCTTGAAAGACAGCGGGATTTGAGGTTTTTTTTTTAAAAGTTTTTTTTTAAAGTTGTATTTTTTTTTGATAATTTTTTTTTAAAGTTGGAGAAATAAGTTCCAAATGGTAGTAATTTGGGTTGTATTTAGCATTACAGTTTTCGGATATAGAATGAGTTTCAAGCTAAAAAAAGGGCCTGAATCGACAATAAGCCCAATGGAATCGAGCTCAAAAGCCAGAAGCACGAGCCCTAATACAAATAACTTCCTCGTAATAAGATTAGTCAAACGGAACCGAAGAAAAATTTCGAGGGGGCGCCGGCGCGGAGGAGATAAAATGCAGATCTTCGTCAAAACCCTAACCGGGAAGACTATAACCCTCGAGGTAGAGTCCTCCGATACCATTGACAATGTCAAAGCCAAAATTCAAGACAAAGAAGGTTGGTTTCCATTGCTTGTTTGTCTGTTTTGCGTCGTTTATTCCATGTATGTGAATTTTTAAATTTTGTGCCTTTTTGGGTGTGGAAAATTTGAAAAGGAATTCCGCCGGATCAGCAGCGTTTGATTTTTGCTGGAAAGCAGCTCGAGGATGGCCGTACGCTTGCTGATTACAATATCCAGAAAGGTTCCTCTTTTCCTTTATTTTTTTTTAGAAAGAATGATAATCATAATTTTTGAAATTTGCTTGTTCGGTTGTGCGTTTTCTGAACTCTAATTTCGCATGTAGAGTCTACACTTCATTTGGTACTGAGGCTGCGCGGAGGTATCATTGAGCCCTCTTTGATGGCCTTGGCTAGGAAATACAATCAGGACAAGATGATCTGCCGCAAGTAATGCTCTTGATTTTTTTTTTTCGTCTTTTTTTATTACTTTTTTGGTGCTATTGTTGCATTTGAAATTTCGTGTGTTTGCTGGTTAGATTCCGCCGTGTTATGGTTTAACGAAATGTTTTAGTCGTGACTGTAATATTGATGTTGAATGAATGGTCGCAGGAAGTTATTTCGTTAGCTTAACTAAGCGTTTGTTTCCTGTTGTTTTGATTCTGATAGAAAAGATACTTTCTTGGGTTTTGGAGTTGGAGTTGGAGTTGGAGTTGGAGTTGGAGAGGGAGAGGGAGAGGGAGAGGGAGAGGGAGAGGGAGATGGAGTTTTCAAGTGGTTTGTGCTACTAATTTTCTTCTCCTATAGGTTCAAACCTAGAATTGATTTTCGTACCTTTAGCTGTGGCTTTTCAACTTCATCAAACCTCCTAAATTTGTTTATCTTTTCCAGATGCTATGCTCGCTTGCATCCTCGTGCTGTTAATTGCCGGAAGAAAAAGTGCGGCCACAGCAACCAGGTAGACTCAGTCATCTTTTTGGTCCACATTTGCTATTAATTTTTTACTGGATAGATGTTATGGCCTCATAACCAACTGGAATTTGTTGTGCAGCTAAGGCCGAAGAAGAAGATTAAGTAGGCGTTCTGTGGAATTTCTTCGAGCTCTTCCTACAATGAACATTGTGTTTGTTTTAGCTGCAACAATTTTGAGACCTCATGTGGTTTATTAGTATATTGTTACGTGATGGACAATAGCTTTTGTTGAACCATTTGAGATTTAAAGAGATCATTTATTTGTGTTATTTGCCTGTGAGACCACTTCATAAGATTCCCTGAAACAGTTTGGAAACCAGAGAGACCTGCACTATGATAGTGTGAATAAAGGGGTCGGACTTAATTATCCATTCAGAAATAATGCATTTCCACTCCACAAAGTAGCTGCTGAAAGAATAATTCTTAGTTTTTCATGTAGTTATCCTCGGATTGGAAACTGAGAAGCAGCAAGTATGCAATAGCCGCTGACAATCTGTGGCTATAACCATAAGCAAAACTAAGTTGGCTAGCTGGGACGACAAACAAAACTAAGTTGATGCATTCACCAAAATGTCCTGCTTCTTGGTGGAGAAGGGATTTGAGTTTGAAAAGCAACTATGTCGAAACATAATGTTACAATAAAGGGCGTTGCTACTGTTCCTACCGCAAGATACTGTCAGATGGGAGCATCAGTCCTATGGAATCCCGATTATGAGCCCATCATAATCTGCAGGGAGCATCAGCTTTCTCCACAGACATCCTGTAGAAACAACCTCCCCCGGTTGAACAACCATCATAACTCCATCACTGCGCTTTTGTAACATTCCAATCACACTCAGTGAGCTTCCATCTCTAATGTACCTGCCATTACTTGGAAGACTGCAACTTCAAACAACCAGATTCAAAGAAACCCGAGTGAAAAGTGCAAGGTGAATCTAATGGATGTGTTACCCTTCTTTCAAGCACAACTGGCGAGGCTCCGTAGAAAGGTTTCTTTCCCTCAACCATTTCTTCAAGGGAGAAGATAGGACGCTGCATTTTGCAGTTGTTTGTACCAGTTGGGTTTCCATGATCAAGGGAATGACTTTGCAGCCGGCACCCGCTTTCACCAGGACTCTGACGCCCGACTTTCTGTCCGTGATGTAAAAGTCGACCGAAAACCTCTGCCCAAAGCGGAGCAGATCTATCAGTGTACAGCAAGTAGGCACAAAGCAAGAGGCCGAAGGACAGGACGATTATAAATCACGAGATATAGACAACCAGCAGGGATGTTAAGAGAGCAAAAGCGATAAGTTGGTACATACAGATAAATGTGAAGAAATATAGAAAAAGTTCAGGTGCCTTGTGTTATTGATATAAAAAGGGACACATGTATGATTTTTTGATGAAAATTTCTCAACAATGCTTCCGTAATAGGTACCGATTATAATGTCAAATGATGGAGAAAACAAACAATAATAAAGAGTGTAAATACACAAACAGGTACTCAATTATGATTCAATGATTAAGCATCTTGTAAAATGGGAAATGATATACAGCACTTAGTACCTCTGAGTAGGGAATTCTCCACTTAAATACTTGTTGATATTCATACAACAGAGTGGACGTGTAGATACACCCATTGACCATCTCATACGAAGACTCCAACGATACATTCCCACACGACACCACCTGATTGCAATTAACAAACAAATTCAGCCAGTAGTATATGTATGTTTTAGTAAGAAGAGAAGAAACAGGACGCATTTTAGTCGGAAAATTACACAATACACACATACATACAAACATACCCCGGTGATTTTGACGAGCTGGCCGTGAGCGCACCGGCTGAGGTCGGAATCAGGGGAGGATTGGAGGTAGTACAAAAGGGCGCCGCTTTGGGTGGAGGAGTTCCAAATTAGAAAGGTGGCGATTAGAGCTGAGACGCACAGGACTATGACTAAGGAGATAGGGTTGTGAAGGAGTATGAGGATGAAAATGGAGAAGCCCAGCCCGATTAACAACAGTATGAAAAGCACCGCGTATACTACCGCTGGAAATGGGATGACGCCCGAGCCTCCTCCGCTTCCTCCGCCGCCTGCCGCCGGACTGGAGAGGTTGTTCATGGATCCCTCTTTCAGACAGGGCCCCAAGAGTTTATTTTTTACGTCTTATAAGAAAAACAAAGAAACCCAACACCGCTGGCTGCGGGAATGAATATACAATTGGACTTGGGCCAAGTTTCAAAGAAGATTTCGGGTAGACATGGAGAAGCCCAAATTTCATAATTGCCCATATAATTTTGTTTTTTCTTTTTTCACGTCTCACTTCAATTTCCTCAGTTTGTGAAAATGCTTTTACTGAATTTTCAGATATCAACAAGTGAAGATTACTTTCCTCTTCAATGCAATGTTGTTAATTTCCTAATTCAATGTTTTTTTTCCTTTTTTTTGCGCCACAATCAGGTCTCGGCCGAACCAATGTTTACATATAATCAACAAGGTTTTGGTGTTTATTTATTTATTTTTTTACGAATATTGTAAAAATTTATCGTTATTTTTGTTTGGACAAAGAATTCTACATCGCCATTCTTAGTAAATACTCTTTCCGGTTCTTAATATAAGGCATTTTGGTTTGTCTTATATTTCACCTATTATACATTTTTAATTGGAAAAAAATCTTAAAAATAAATTTTCACATTCGTTGTGTTCTTTTAATTATTAGGAATTTTTAAAGTTTATTTTTTTTCAATTAAAAATGAATACAATGTAAAATTTATGACGAATCAAAATGTCTTATATTAAGGACCGGGGAGTAAAGAACACTGAAGCTAACGAGACGAGAAAAATTATCAAATTTTAGGCTCTGTTTATTTCCTTTTTCTCATGGTTTTTTCAAAATAATATAATAATATATATCCCATCCCACCATACTTTTTTACATTTCTAATACAAAAAACACCTAAAAACACACACTGAAAAAACGAAAAAACATACCCTTAATCATTTGGAGTTTGTTTTGTTTGCAAGACACGACATCGTTTTCATTTCTGGACTACAATGGACCAGGAATTTTGGACCAGAAGATCCGAGCTCGAAAAATTGAAGCGCGAGGTTCTTGTGATTAAGATTTTCAACTTGACATTATTTAAACCAGATTGTACCATAAAAGAAAAAACAAAAGCAGAAGAAGAAGGGAACACTGGCAGCAGCAGGAGCAGCTCGTAACGTACGTATCCGCACAGTCGATTTCAGGAATCATTCCTGTGAATTGTGATACTCGTGGAGTGCATAAGCAAAACTCAAAATGAGAAATGGGATCAGCAATTGCAAAATCTTAGCAAAACCTCCAGAAGAAGAGTGGCTTCTTGGTTTGGATTTTTCATGTGCTTCTGCTGGGGGAACTGGGAGGGTGGACTTGTCTACCTCCCCAATTTTGAATCTCTTCATCAACTCCTTTGCATCGTCACTGTGCCCAACTGCTTCATATTCAGCTGTTGCATCTTTGCCTGCCATATATATACATACACACCCACACCTCGTTATTTATAATCTATTTTATTACTGCAGGCAAAATGCATGCCTCCAAGTAGTGATGATTTTTTGTTAATTAATAATGTATTTTGAGACGGAAGAAATATATAATAAATGTTGAAATTCCTCAATCACCTGATGCTGCAAGCAGCACTTCATCACCCCCTGGATGATCCTCCAGGAATGTGGTTACATCATACACCTGATTCAATTAGATTAATTTGCCATTATATAAATATACGATGCAAATGGATGTGGTCCCAAAAAACAATATTATGCTTATTAACACGTACAATTAAGACGTCGTGAACATTCATTAATGTAATCCTCTAATTTCCTATTAAATAATTAAAATTTGTCCTCCCAAATTAATGAATTAGATTACAAGCAGAATCTAATAAACTACTTCCTCTGTTCCGAAATGATTGTACAGTTTGAAGTTTAATTTCTTAATAAAAATTATACTAAAAGTGATAATTCAAACTATAGAATAATTTTGGTACAAAGAACACTAAAATTTAAGATCTCAATCACAAGCAAGAAGAGTATAGAGAAAGGGGGGATCCATAACCTTGCCGTGGACAGTGATCCAACAATCCCCACGTCTGTTGTGCTTTATCACGTCCTCATACTGATGAACTCTACCAACCGTCATCTTTGATCTTCAAATTAAATCTGCCACATCAAAAACCACCGACATTCGGTTAATACTTGTTCGCGCGCGCTGTCTATTTATGAACATCTACATACTACTACTCTAGCAAAGACAACAAGAGAGAGAGAGAGATATAGAGAACAAAAACCAATGCAGAGCATTCGTCATTCAAGGATTCTAACATTAATATGGAAGCAAGTTATCAAGTGTCCTTGCTTCTGCACAAAGTAGTGAAGACGAAGCT